TTTTTTTGAAAAAATGTATAAAAAATGTGAGAGATGATATGATCCAAAATTGGTTAAAAGCTGAAAGATAACTTTTAACTATCTTTCCAAAATTATCCTCTAAATTATCACTGGAAAATCAATTCAACCTTAGTTCTTTTCATAATGTCAATTTTATCCCTACACTATTTGATTTTAGATCAATTTTACCTTTGTCGTTATCTGCCATTTATAATCAAACGAAAATTACTAAATGGCACTGAAATTTTATTTAAAATTTTATTCTACCCTCCAAACTATCTCTAAAATATTAATTAGACTCTCAAATTTCATTTTATTCAGGAGTCTAATTGATATTTGGAAATAATTTCAGGGGTAAAATAAAATTTCAAATGAAGTTTGGATGTCACACCAGCAACTTCTATTTGATTATAGACGACCATTGACTCAAAATCAAATAGTTTAAGTATTAAATTGAAATTATTAAAAAAACAAGAGTTAAATTGATTTTTTAATGATATTTTGAAGGTAAAATGATATATGTTTTATTTTAAATTTCACAGAGTATACAAATCATAATTTAAAAGATTTATTATAATGGGTAAATTACACTGACATCCTTTGAAGTTTATATTTATTACAGTTTTTTCCTCACATTTGGAAAATTACATTGACCCCCTTGTAGTGTAATTATTTGACCGTGTTAACTTTTAAGTTAAAATGACATATTTACCCTTAACATTTACATATACTTTAAAGGGTAAATTACATTGGCACCCCCTAAGGTTTCAATTTAATACAAATCACCCTGACATTTTAAAAAAAAAAACTAATTTAATAAAAATAAATATGAAGAAATATATTTAATTTATAAAAAATTATTTCTAAACACTCAAAAGATAAAAATTATATAAAAATGATAATTATTTTTTATTTTTTATTTTTATTTCTTAACCAAATTAATTTTTAATTTTTTTTAAAAAAAATTCTAAAAATCAAACCATACATAACATAAGAATCTTTTGATAAGTGATTTCTTACGTTAGTAACTTATTTAATTATTTATTAATTTTACGACATTTTTACCATCCGAGGCCTATTTGGTAACCTTTTTATTTTCAGATTTCAATTTATATTTACAAAAATTTTAAAAACTATCATAAAACTTGTTTGATAATTTTTTTAGTTTATAAATGGTTGTCTCAGTTTGTAAATTTGAGAAAAAAATGTAAATTCAAAAAATGAGTTTACGTTGGTTTTTAAATAGAAATTTAAAATTTTGACTAACAAATTTTGTTTCCATTAATTTTTTTTCAATTCATTAATTTTTTTCCCAATTAATTTTTTTTAAAGAATTTTTTTTTCAACTAATACTAACCGAGGGGGTAATTAGTAATGTTACTTTGATCCTTGGGGCGGAGATTGTAATTTCTAAAATGTGAGAGATGTCAACATAATTTATCCAGTGAGGGCAAAATTAGTATTTAAAAAAATTAAATTGCTGACATCAGCAAAATCTATTAGTTGACTTAACAGTCAACTATCTGAGAGAGCAATTTGTAATGAAACTTTAAACCTCAAGGAGGGAATGTAATTTCTAAAAAATGAAGGAAGAACTGTAATAAATATAAATCTCAAGGGGTGTCAATGTAATTTATCTTATTATAATTTATGTATGTTTAAATTTTCTTTCATGGTAGAACTAGGGATAACATATAACAAAATTTTAATCCGGATAACTATTAAAAAAATATTATCAATTTCAAATAATTTATTAAATTTTTTATTAAATCTCTCACATATGTGTATAGATCTTACACAAACATACATATGTATGAATCTTATACCCAGATAAAAAGTTTGACAAAAATTTTAATAAATTGTTTAGAGTGGAAAGCTGTTGGCACCATAAATCTGTAATTATTATTATTATTATTATTTTCAAGACACGTGGCGTCCTCTTATTCATTTGGAAGTTAAAAGAAGTTATAGAGATGATGGAGAATATGAAGGATAAAGTGGATGAGTGGAAGGACACATGGCAAGACAAGAATGGAGATGGAAGAAATTGATAGTTACTAAGTAGTTATTGCTGTATTTTTTCCTCTATAAATAGTCATTAATGACTACATTGTAGAGGGATCCAAAATTCATAATCAAAGACAATTGATTTCAATATTTCTTGTCATTTTCCTTATCTTAGGAGTAGTTTAACATATATTTATATTTTAAAGCATTTATTTTCAGCATTTCCATTTCGAAGCATTTCATGCATTTCCTTTTCGAAGCACAGGAGTAGAGGTAAGTAATTGTTACTTTGATTGTTCACTTAATCGTCTTTCTCCGTCCCTCTTTCTTCTTTTACTTTTCTTTTCTCTACACTTGACAATTTTGAAGCCCTTTTCGTTGAGGCAAAAAAACCGTCAACACAATCGCTTGATAATTGGCTTGAATTTAATCTGTAAGGATTTTTCAATTCTTACTAGCATGCTCACATTTATGATATTTTCCTTTGTAGGAAAAATAAGCCAACAATTTTTGGTACATCCAGTGGGACGTCAAGTGTAAAAAATGAAAAATAAATTGGATTTGTCCATTTCAAATAGCCTAGATAAAATCTATTGGCATAAACAAGAAATTTTGAATTTTCAAGAAGAGATCCATTTTCTTGATGAAATAAACTTTCATCACTTACAATATTATTTGGTGGAAGAAAAAAGACATCATTTAATTAGAGAAATTCATCAACTTGATATGAAAATTCGCCAATGGAATGATGAGTTATCAACTCTCACTACCAAGTCTTTAACTGAGGCTTTAATGGCCGGAATTGGCGAATTTTTTCAGAATTTTTTCATGGTTAAAAATAGCAAAAGCAAAGAGTTGATTTCATCAATGGCTCGGGGGGTTCAAGAGTCCGTTTTTAAAGAGCCAAATTATGAAATTAACATAACGAAAGAGCATGTTCTTGAGCCAAATTTGGCTAAGAATGATGTTCCATGTATGACTCGGGGGGTCCAAAAATCAAATTTTAGAGAGTCAAGTTATGAAAATAACATATCTATGGGTGATTTTCATAAGCCATTAATGGCTAACATGGAAAACACAACCCACTTTGCCAAATAATTATGAAAATCTATTTGGCAAAAGCCATGTTTTTAAAACAAACATGGTCAAAAATAATGAACAAGCCACTGTTCATGAATTCAAATTTTTTGATATTTTTCAAAATGTCAAAAAGTATGAATTTTCATGGTCACACTATACCATGACTTTTGTTGTTCAAAACCTACTTTGGATTTGTGGATCACACCAAAATATAATTCTGATGATGTGGCTAATAAAATTAACAAATTGTTCTTATAAGTTCGAAGCACTAAGAACAAGGGATGACTATTTAAAATGCATGAACTTAGCTAGGAAAAGCCTATGCATTTAAATAAGTGGTTGAGAATGGTTTATCTTTTCAAATTGATGGCCAGTTATTTGTATGTAGACAATCAAAGCATCGAAGATATATTTGAAGCATCAAAAGTTGTTTCGAAGGTTGATTACTTCACCTTCGAAGCTATGAGTTCGAAGCACTAAGAACAAGGGATGACCATTTAAAATGCATGAACTTGGCTAGGAAAAATCTATGCATTTAAATAAGTGGTTGAGAATGGCTTATCTTTTCAAATTGATGGCCAGTTATTTGTATGTACACAATCAAAGCATCGAAGATACATTCGAAGCATCAAGAATTGTTTCGAAGGTTAATTACTTCACCTTCGAAGCTGTGAGTTCAAAGCACTAAGAATAAGGGATGATCATTTAAAATGCATGAACTTGGCTAGGAAAAACCTATGCATTTAAATAAGTGGTTGAGAATAGCTTATCTTTTCAAATTGATGGCCAGTTATTTGTATGTACACAATCAAAGCATTGAAGATACATTCGAAGAATCAAGAGTTGTTTCGAAGGTTGATTACTTCACCTTCGAAGCTGTATAAAGCTTTGAAGATACATTCGAAACATCAAGAGTTGTTTCGAAGGCTGATTACTTCACCTTCGAAACTGTATAAAGCTTCGAAAATACATTTGAAGTGTCAAGCCTAACCTTGAAACTTCATTGTAAGTATTATCATCCTATATCAATGCTTCCAACCTTCAAGGGGTGATGTTGTTCCTTCAAAACTATGCCGCAAGACCTTCGAACGATGAATTTGGTCTTTTATACCACCTTCGAAGCTTGTTATTGATCATCTAATCATAATTTCATACTTATTCGAAACACTTTATTAGTGCTATTATATCATTCAAAGTGCTTTATTGGTGCTATTACATCATTTGAAGCACTTTATTGGTGCTATTATATCATTCGAAGCACTTTGTTAATATCATTCGAAGCATTTTATTGCTTAGATTAATCATGTGTTTGGTTCGACCCTTTAAAAATTCAAGCAAACATTATTTTTAAGGGTTGCAGGGGGTAATGTTGGCACAATAAATCTGCAATTATTATTATTATTATTTTCAAGACACGTGGCATCCTCTTATTCATTTGGAAGTTAAAAGAAGTTATAGAGATGATGAAGAATATGAAGGATAAAGTGGATGAGTAGAAGGACACATGGTAAGACAAGAATGGAGATTGAAGAAATTGATAGTTACTAAGTAGTTATTGCTGTATTTTTTCTTCTATAAATAGCTATTAATGGCTACATTGTAAAGGGATCCAGAATTCATAATCAAAGACAACTGATTTCAATATTTCTTGTCATTTTCCTTATATTATGAGTATTTTTTCTTCTTTTACTTTTTTTTTTCTCTACACTTGACAATTTTGAAGTTCTCTTCGTTGAGGTAAAAGAACCATCAACACAATCGCTTGATAATTAACTTGAATTTAATCTGTAAAGATTTTCAATCCTTACTGACACACTCACATTTATGATATTTTCTTTCGTAATAAAAATAAAGCAACAAAAGCATAACTCTAACTATTATGTATTTAAAATGGCACATAGTTTTCAAAACCACCAAACACATCTCCAGGAACCCCAACTAGACCAACGAAGATGAAGCCAGAAACCGCCGATAGATTTTAATTTTCTAACTTGAAGCACACCATCATGATAAATGTAAGTGTTCCACTATTCTATTACTATAGTATATAAAACCCACCTTCTTCAATCACACCGAACACAGTGCTCTCAAAACACAAAAACACAATAGCAGAAGTATGTAAGTAAGCATTTCCAACCGTCCGATCGATCTCACAAAAATGGCTGAGTGTGAAGCAAAGGAGAGGAAGATATTGGTGGGCGTAGATGAAGGAGAAGCGAGCATGTATGCTCTCTCATGGTGCCTCAACAACATCCTCGTCTCTCAAAATTCCAAAGATACCCTCGTCCTCTGCTATGCCAAACCACCTCGGCCAGTTTCCACTGCCATCGATGGAGCAGGTAGGCGAGAACTCCGAGGTAATCTTAGAAATTTGTGGTATTTTGAGAAGTCGATAAAAAAATATTTTTTAATTTTTTTTAACCAAAAAAATTAGTTTTTTTTTTTTGATAGCGACTTGAGTAAAAAAGTGTGTTTTTTTTTTTTTCTTAAAAAAGCTTAAAGCTAGTTTTTTTTGCTAGCTTCCATGGTGAACATAAGGACACTTACAAATTTGTGCATTTTTTTAAAATAAAATAAAAAATATAATATCAAATAATCTCTTATTTTAGACAAATTATACTTTTAAATCGCATAATTTAACTTTTATGTCAATTTAATTTTTATAATTTTGTTGGTGTCAAACTTAGTTCAATTGATACCGTAGGTATAATGGTTTATTTGAAATTGTATAGACCATTTTAAACTAATTTTTGAACAGGGTATTATTTGGGATCCCCTTCCCCTTTTCCCCTCTCCTAAATTAGGGATTCTGCCTTTTGGTGGAATCGAGCGCAACTCATTTTTATAATCTGAAGTATTCATGTTATAGACCTCAGGATGACCATTGTAAATAGTAGTAGAGAAGTTGTAAAATAGATTTGTTTAAGTTGTAAGGTCATTACCAAACATATAATAACAATTAATATAGTGGGGAAATAAGTTGTGTAACTCTAAAAATTTAAAGGTCATGTTTATTTAGATGGATATGAACTTGAGATTGAATTAATATTTCAATAAAATTATTAATTCGATATCTGATTAAATAATTAAAGTACAAATTAACAATTTATACGGATATGTCATATGATAGACTATTTAATCTCACAAAGGGGGATGAGATATAAATTGAAGGATTAAGTCAAAGTTTAGATTATTAGTTCCTTATTGTAATCTTAATTCAATCCAAACATAAGATATAATACACAATCCAAAAAATTTGTAATCCTAAGACTATTAGTCATGGGAATACTAATCCAATCTAATCTTGGCTTTGTTTGGCAAGAGTTAAACGAGGCTTTTTTGGCTATTTTAGCCATAAAAGACAAAATAGACTATTTTAGCCACAAAAAGCAAAATATCACATCTAACCCATAATCATTACATTCTTCTCTCACAAAAAAAGTCAAAAAAATCAAAAAGTCAAAAAGTCCTTCCCAAACCAAACTTTTTAGCCCAAGCTAAAATAGTCAAAAAAGCCAAAAAGTCAAAAAACTAACCCACTTCCTAAACGGAGGCCTAGTCAGTCTAAACAAACATGGCATAAGTGTGAAGTTACTGTTAAACGAACCAAAGTGATTTTTTTTTAAATTAAAAATAATTGGAAAACAAATCACTAGTTTTTTAGTGAATATATATATATTTTTTAATTTGTATTAAAAAAACTTTTTCTTTATATAGATCCTTGTATGTTAGATGGATTTTAAAAAGTAAAAAATTGACACAAATTTATAAAAGAAATACTATAAACAAAAACTTTAGAATAAAATATAATGGGATCCCAAACTCATTCTGAATTAATATAACAGTCAAATTATAAATACAGTTATTAAGATTTGTTTAAAATACAGATTAATCCCTATCATTTTAAAAATTACTAATACTTGTCAAATTTTTTTTTATTTAACAAAATTAACACAAAAAAATGAAATTCTTAACTACTCTTTTATACAATAACAAAATTAACTAAACTGTTTATTGAATTATGCAACTAGAAATTTGAAGGGTGAGATATAATTTTCAGAATCACATAAGATAAATTTGTATTTTAAGTAAATCTCAAAAGATATATTTATAATTTACTTTATTAATCTTTCTCTCCTTGAGAGGAAACTATTTTAGTGGTATTTTGGTAAATTGTGATTATTTTCAGGGTACATGTGCTCACCTAATATAATAGCAACCATGGACAAGTATGCCAACGAGCTGGTTGAGTTTGTGATGGAAAAAGCAAAGAGGCTTTTGAAGGAGTTTCATAATCTTGATGTGTGTATCATACTCTTTTTTTTGTTTGTTTTTGTATTTTTCGTGTGTTGGCAAGGGTAAAATAACTATTTAAATAAGTGATTTTGCGAATTGTGTGTACACTTGCATTGTAGGTTAGAGTGGAAAAGATAGTGGAGAGTGGAGATCCAAAGGACGTAATTTGTCACGCAGCGGAGAAATTAGATGTCGACATGGTTGTGTTGGGAAGCCACGGCTATGGTCTCATGAAGAGGTAGGTCCATCATCATTTTTCAACCTTCATTTCTTTTAAGGTGAATTATAAATATATTTTTTAAGATTTATTTAAAATATGATTTGTTTATGTGATTTTAAAAATTACATTTTGTCTCGTGAAATACTAATTTCATGAAAAAAAATATTTTATGAATAAATTATTAAGTCAATTAATAATTTTTAATAATGTAAAAATCTATTTCAATTAATAATTCAGATAATTTTATCATTGTATAGGAAAGTCATTAATTTAAAATTTTATTTTTTTCAATTAATTCTGTTAAATAAAAAATTCTAATAAGGGGATATTTATAATTTTTCAAATTATAAGAAACAATTCGTATTTTAATCAAATTTCAAAATGTGTTTTGTAATTTATCTTTTTTTATCTTATCCAATCACATTTCACGAAATTGGATTATTTTCAGTCCTAAATAATGTTCATTCTATTTCATTTTGACATTTAAATTTTTTTTTATGAATTTTATATTTTATTATTATTTATTTTTAGTAACTTTTTAATATTTTAATTATTATTTTTCAATTTTTTAGATTACCAAATCTAAATGTACTAACATATTTGTGGAAAGGAACACTAGACAAAAAGTAGCATATTTTTCCTTTTCTTTTTTGTTTTTTATTCAGTAAAAAGATTAAGATTTTTGTGCCAATTTTAAATTATTTATTGATAGAATTGTGTTATTATAATTAGCAAAGTAATTGTCTCATTAGTTCTAGAAATGGTAAAAACCCTCTTACGAAAGTTTATAATTTAACAGAGTTAAAAGAAAATAAAATAAAATTCCTTAACAAAGAGTCATTTGTATTTTAAACAAATTTTAAAACATGTATTTATAATTTATTTAGCCTCCATTTGGGAAGTGGGTTGGCTTTTTAGCTTTTTAATTTTTTTGGTTATTTTAGCCTGGATTAAAAAGCTTGGTTTGGAAAGGACTTTTTGACTTTTCGACTTTTTTGACTTTTTTTGTGAGAGAAGAGTATAATAATTATGGATTGGATGTGATGTTCTGTTTGTTATGGTTAAAATAGTTTATTTTATTTTTTGTGACTATTTTAGCCTCAAAATCACTTGTCAAACATCACCTTAATTTTTTTTTGTTTTATTAATTGATTTACACATATGAGCTTACAAAATAAACTAAATACATGCAATTATTTTATAAAATTCTCCTAATCTGAAAGCTAGATCATCACTATTTTAGAAAAATAATTGACTTAACTTTTTTTGGTGTTTAATTTAAATGGCAGGGCTTTTGTAGGAAGCGTGAGCAATCATTGTGCCCAGAAGGCAAAGTGCCCTGTTCTCATTGTAAAGATGCCCAAATCAACTTGTCCCAGCAAATAATGACAATGACTTCAATTCTACTTTTATCAATTTTTTATTTTATTTTATTTTATTTTATTTTATTATTTGGGTATATTTCTATTTTGGTTGATGTTGTTTGCATCGTATAAATTTTTAGAAAAAATTTCACAATCTGTACAAATTTTTATGAATGTCTTTTTTTTTTTTGGAAGACTTATTTATAAGTCATTTTTCAGATACTTATGGTAGGTTAAGTCTTGTGTAATTTCTTATAAAAGTCCAAGTCCTATTTAGATAGAAATGTATTCTACAAGATCCTACATAAACGTAACGTGACATGACACTTACATAAACATAACGTAACGTGACACCTACATAAACGTAATGTGACACTTACATAAATGTAACGTAACGTGTCATGTTACGTTTCGCAAACTTAATGAGTTTTTATTTCTTTAAATTGAATGTGAAAATGTTGCTGGTTTATGTTAGTGTCATGTTACGTTTTATATAAATATGATCTATGGGAAATTGAATGTTGCCATAGATCATAGGTGTCACGTTACATTTATGTAGGTATCACGTTACATTACGTTTATGTAGATATGATCTATGGTAACGTTTATGTAGGTGTTACGTTACGTTGCGTTTATGTAGATATGATCTATGGTAACATGCAATTGCATGTTATCATAGATCATAGGTGTCACGTTACGTTTATGTAAGTGTCACGTTACGTATAGGTGTCACATTACATTTATGTAGGTGCCACGTTACATTACGTTTATATAGATATGATCTATGGTAACATTCAATTTCCTATATATGATTTTACTATTATTTATAATATTAACAATTAATATTGAGGGTAAATATGTCTACAAACTTCCCACAGAACTTATGTGAACATAAATTTTTTAGTAGGACCATATGTAGCATAAGTCTCCCTAATAGAATTTATAAATAATTTTTCTTTTTTTTTTTCCTTTTTTTTCTGGATAACTCACCGCCATGATTTTTTAACAACTTTTTCGAGGAAGTAAAATTTCACAATTTGTACCATCAGACAGTGAGCGAAATTTCAAGAATTGCACTCTTAGTCCCTCTTTGGGAACAAATTTTGGAATTAAGATAGTCAATAAAGACAAAACAGATTAAAATAGTCAATTAAATAAAATATCACATTTTACATATCAATCAATCATTTTTTCTCTTACAATTATCTATTCAATTACAAAAAAAAATTTACAAATTGACATGGGTATGCCCATAAAGATTATAGAACACCATTTAGGGCCCAATACATAACTTAAATACTAAAGCCCAACATTGCTGAAGCCCCACGTAGCAATAAGAACCAATGATAGCAAGACACATGACAAGAGAAGGGCAAGCCACATAAGCAGACAAAGATCTGCAAAGTTATTACCACTGCAAAACGCCATTAATGAAGCCCCTTACAGCATTTATTGTGATAACCTCTCTCCGTTGAGATAGAACGTCTTCACTATGAACAAGGTAAGCTAGAGCATAGACTTTCGGCCAAGGTAACAAGTTGGAAGGGACAACGAAATGATTACTGGAGGATATAAGCAGACGTCGAAGACAAGAAGAAGGTTAAGTTTTTCTATCTCTAATTCATCTCTGCATTATATTTCTCTCTCTAACTTGCTCGTCGGAGGATTCGCTGGGGGACTCCCCATTCCCCGTTGAACTCTTGTGCAGGTCTTCTAGTGAGCTTCGCCACCCGGACATAGATTGAGAAGCGTGGATCAGTCCTACCCGTTCCACCTGGAACAAATTGTATCATCATTTGGCGCCATCTGTGAGAATGGTTTTTGTTCCGCGCACTAGTTGTGCTCATTGTCGCTGGAGACCCTCTCCCCATCACCCCCTCCTACCACCTGTGAAGGTAGATGGTCACAACTAGATCCAAAGCTTCTCACCCCAATGTCGTCGATCATCAAGCCGACCCTCCCAACCCAAATAACCCACCACAGTATTTCACCGAGCTCACCAATAGCATTAACTGCCTGGTCGAGCAAAACCAAGCCTGATTAATACTCTACTTCAAAGAAACCTTCATATGCCTCCTCCACCACCTCCAGATATCCCACCCAACCAAGAACGAGCCCCGAGCCATACTATCCACCCAACTTGGAAGGCTTACAACCCCTTCTCCTAGATATAAACTTGCCACCCCGGGGCCCACATCCACCGATCTCGGCACTCATCCCTGAAGAGGAGGCCAGCAGCATCCAGCCCCCACTGCCTTCCAATGGTGACAACATTCCTCTCTGGGACACAGAACTCCGAGCCATGAAGCTCTAGCTCCAACGGGTCATGCAGAACATACAGCATAAACCATCTACCACAGTCAACTCCCCATTTGTTGCCTCCATCAGGGACAAACCTCTACCTCTTAAGTTCAAAATGCCCATGATCGACTCTTTTGACGGCACAACGGACCCAGTCGATCACTTGGAGACCTACAAAACCCTCATGATCCTCCATGTATTCCCTGATGAAATCATGTGTCGGGCTTTCCCCGTGACACTCAAGGGGTCGGCTCGACTCTGGTTTAGTCAACTACCAGCAGACTCTGTCTCCACCTTCCAGCACCTTAGTGATTCCTTTCTCAGCCATTTCATTGGAGCCCAATGCCAGCGGCGTCCGGCAACCCAGCTCCTTAACATCTGTCAGACTGAGAGGAAGTCGCTGTGCATCTTTGTCACCCATTTCAACACCGAAGCCCTGCAGGTGGCTGAAAACGATGACAAGGTCATCCTCATGGCATTCATGGCCGGTCTACTGTCATCTGATTTCCTTTTCTCCCTCTCAAAAAATCCCCTGACCTCCATGGCAACCCTTCTTTTCAAAGCCGAAAAATACATGAACGCAGAAGATTCCCTAGCCGCTCGCCAAGACCCTATAGCCAAAAACCCGACTCCCAGAGAGAAGAGAAAGGATTCGGAAACCAGACACACCCAGTACAATAACCAAACACCTCAATATGCCGACCGACCCCCCCGAACCAACCGGTCGGCACTAGCCCGACCACCCGGCCGATTCGAAAGATACACACCCCTCAACTTCCCTATGGAACAAGTCTTGAACCAGATTCAGGGAGATTATCCCCTTAAATGACCCCCACCATCACGGTCTCCTTCAAATCGGCGAGACCAGTCTACATATTGCCGTTTTCACCAGGACCACGGTCATAATACCGAGGAGTGTGTTAACCTCAAAGATCAGGTCGAGGGCTTGATACGTCAGGGACGTCTCAGTCGGTTCACAGAAACTCGCCCTCAGCAAAGGCAAATGACCGAACCCATCAGAAACAACCACCGGCGCACTCCTCTTCGGCAACCAGCACAACCTAACCCCGACCATGATCGGCCTCTGCAACAACCCCGAGCACAAGGTAACTCCGCCTCCCTTGTTGGAGAAATCAGAGTCATAACAGGCAGGCTTGCTTGTGAAGGTCCATTCCGCTCGGCTGAGCGAGCAGAACTCAGAAAAATAAGACAGGGCTCAGACAAAGAAGTTTCCACATTAAATCGCCCTCCCAAACAACCCAAGTAGTGGATGAAGCCCGTCACCTTTACAGAAGCCGACTACACAGGCATCCGTTACCCCCATGATGACCCTCTCGTCATTTCGGCCGTCTTCTCCAACTACAAGGTCAGACTGGTTCTCGTCGATGACGGCAGTTCTTTAGACATCATCTTTCTGAATTGCTTTTGCCAGCTCAAGATCGGGAAAGAAAGTTTCTCCCCTCTCCAAACCCCATTAGTCGGTTTCATCGAAGATCGGGTGACCTTCATCGGCTCCATCGACCTTCCCATCACCATCGGAGATTACCCACGGCAGACCACCAAGTTGCTTACCTTCCTGGTCGTCGACTGTCCCTCCGCCTACAACATCATCCTCGGCTGCAGCGCCTTAAACGCCTTACAAGCTATCACATCCACTTTCCATCTTGCCGTCAAGTTCCCCACTGATCTTGGGGTCGGCATGGTCAGGGGAGAGCAGACTGTGGCCAGGGAATGTTATGTTGCCTCACTTAAAGAAGTCAAGCTTAAGGAGGCTATGATCATTGAAGGACTCGACGTCAGAGACGAGGATGAGCTGGTCAGAGGGGAACCAGTGGAAGAGCTCATCGAGGTCCTCATCGATCCCACCAACCTGACAAAAACTGTCAAGATCGGCAGCCAACTATCCTCCCAGGCCAAGGTCGACCTCACCGCCCTCCTAATTGAGCACAACGACGTATTTGCCTGGACCCACTTCGACATGCCAGGTATTGACCCCTCCTTCATCACCCACCGTCTCAGAATTGAGCCCCATTTCTGACCCATTCGCCAGAAACAGCGCATCTTCCACCCGGAGCGTAATAACCTTATTGCTTCTGAAGTAGATAAGCTCCTTTGAAGCACTGTTTATCACAAATGTGGACTACCCCAGGTGGCTGTCGAATGTGGTTCTGGTTTGTAAAAATAATGGTAAATGGCAACTTTGTGTCGACTACTCAGACCTCAACAGAGCTTGCCACAAAGACAGCTACCCTCTTCCTCGCATAGATTTGCTGGTTGACGCCACGACTGGCCATCAAATGCTCAGCTTCATGGATGCCTTCACTGGGTATAACCAAATTCTGATACACCCGTCTGACCAGGAACACACCTCCTTCATCACCGACCGAGGCACCTACCATTACCGTGTGATGCCATTTGGGTTGAAAAATGCCAGAGCCACTTACTAACGGTTGGTCAATGCCTTCTTCCATCATCAGATAGGCCGGAACATGGAGGTATATGTTGACGACATGCTAGTCAAGAGCAAGCTCTCCACTGATCATCTGGCTGACCTGCGAGAGACCTTCGGTACCCTGCGAAAGTACCAAATGAAGCTCAATCCAGAGAAATGCGCCTTCGGTGTAGAATCTGGGAAGTTCTTGGGTTTCATGGTCAGTCAGCGGGGCATCGAAGCTAACCCCGAAAAGATCAAGGCCTTAATTGAAATGCAGTCACCCAGAACGGTTAAGGAGGTTCAGCGGCTTACCGGCCGAGTTGTCGTCCTCAACGCCTTCATTTCTCGTGCAACGGACAAGTGCCTCCCTTCTTCAAAGTTCTTCGACAAACTTTTGAGTGGATGGCAAAATCCGAAGAGGCCT